AAATTACTGTTACTTTGTAGGAGGACAGGGAACTTTGTGGAATCTTTCCACAGTGGTATCTGCATAGTCCTTCCTACTGCTATCACTTAATAGCTCAGGACCTGGCTAACTAGGACAAAGCATTTAATGTGAAGGTATGGCATTATATTGATGATTTAATGCTAACCTCCACATTTCTATCTACAATAAACAACACAGTAGGCTCTTTGTCTTCTATTTACAGGAGAAAGTATGGGCCATCAATCTTTAAAAGGTACAGGGACCTAGATTATCTGTCAAATTGTTGGGTGTTGCCTAGTTGCGTAAGACAAAAGTCCTACCTAATGCAGTTACTAACACACTAAAAGCATTCCCTGTGCCAAAGGCAGTAACTTTGCTACCAGAGTTTTAAGTATATTGGAATACTGGTGGTTGTGCATACTATGTTTAACACAGATGTTAAGAATTTTCTATCGGCTGGTAACAAAAGGCCAGATGTGGGACTGGGACCAACAACAGGATGCCTTCCAGTAGGCAAGGCTAGCAGTAAAACAGCTACAGGTATAAAGCATTTTTGACCCCTCTCTCCCCACCAAGTTAGATGTGCATGTGACTCAAGTGGGATCTGGGTGCCAATTGGAGCAACTCTGATAGGGCTTTGATTCCAGATGTGGCATGGAGCAGAAGAACAATTTAGTGTGATAGAGAGACAATTACTAGCCACATATTCTGCAGTACAAGCAATGGAACCAGTAACACAGAGAGCTGAAATTATAGTAAAAACACTATGTATCTAGAATTGGGTGAGAGATCTGATGCATATTCCTAAGACCCAGATAGCCTAATCTCATAGAATCATAAGGTTGGAAACGACCTGTAAAATCATCTGGTCCAACTGTCCTCCCATCACCACTGCTCCCACAAGCACTAAACCAGATCTCACAGCTCCTTATCCAGACACCACTTGAACACTGCCAGGGATGGCAACTTCACCACCTCCTTGGGCAGCCATTCCATGCCTGACCACCCTCTGAGAGAAAAAGTTCTTCCTCATGTCTAAGAACACCATGCTCCAGACAAAGCCTGAACTGGGATGCATTCAGTATCACTGGAGGTGCAAATTTTTAGTTAGCACAACCAGACAGACTCTAACCATTTTTGATCCAACAGAAATCATCTGTACTTCATATGTTATTCAGTTCCTATTACCTGCCTCCATGTATGCCCTCAACCTGCTAGGTGCCTCAAGAGCAGCAGGAATGCCCCCTTTCTGGGACTCGATTCAAGGAAGCACAAGCACCAACAGTATTTGTTACAGATAACTACTTGTGATAGACAAGCAGCAAAACGGGAGTCCACCTAGTGAACAAGAGCATCCCTCACATACAGTGCTTTAATCAAAGACACTTCCAGTATGCTCCTGATCAACAGGGACTGACCTACACTATGTATATATATATTTTCTGTGATTATAATTTAAGTATTTTAAAGACTACAGTATTTTATCAGGAGAGGAGAGTGAATTTTGTTTACAATGAATAAGCAAACACATACACCTCCCCAGGTGCTAAAGGCCAGCATACATTTCAGAACTGTCTATCTTCCTCCCCCGAGCATTTTAATTGAGGATATTTTATTTCTACTTGGAATAAAAAATAAAAAATAAAATTAAAAAGCAGGAAAGGTGCAAAAATACAGTTTGGTGTAAAGCAATACAGTAGACTGATTGCATGAGAAAACAGCATTCACTTTTAAAACACAGAAGAGGAAAAGTATGGAGAAAGACTCAAAAACGACAAGGAAGAGAGAACAAAGTTGGTGTCTCTATCTGGCTCCAAGAAGCAATCAGATCTCCTACCTATATGAAAGACAAATAGATTTCAGCAGACAAGCCAGAAAGTAATGATTGTGATTGCTGATGCTGCAGACCATGGCTGGCCCACATTAGGTTAAGTAAGCTGGACGCAAGCCAGTATCATTGAACAAATGGCATGGCACATGCTGGAGGAATCTGAGGAGAGGTTACTAATATCTTAAAGGTGACCTTTCACACATGCTATCCCAGCAAATGGGGCAATTCTCTTTGCTGTAATGGAAGAGGTGAGCAGAGGTTAGTCTCTTGTAATTATGCACTCTTCCTATAAATAGGATTTTTTAATATATAATTTTACAATAATTGACTGAACCTCATTTGAGGGAAGTACACTGTGCGCTCTATTGGTTTCCTTCAGTCCTTTCTCTCATTTGAAAGAAAACAATGTAACTTCTTATTCTTCATTATCATCCAGGCGGGCAGCAAGCTCAAAAACAAATTCTAATTTTTAGCTGTGTTACCTACTAAAAAATGAAAAACACTTCCCAAAAGGGCAGGTGCCTCAGGAAAAATGAAAATTACTAGGAGGGCTCTGCTTTCCTGAATGAGTTTTCCATAGATTATTTATAATTGAATGAAACCAATTACAGCACTTGTAATGGAAACTAAACACATACATAAAACATTTCCATTTTTTGCAGAAGCTGAACTACGTGCACAGGAAAAGATCTCTACATTTATGTGAAGGTAAAAGAGAAGTCATCGTTTTCTGAAAAAATGAAAGTACAAAAATGAAAAAATGAAAAAATGAAGTACAAAACCTTCTTAGAGTAGTCTGAAGGGCTACTATCTTATAATTGAAAACTGGGGCCCAGATTCCAAGAAGCCATCTCATAGACAGAAATCCTGAAGCTGGAGATTGAACTCCTTTCCGTTTCTCTAGAGATGGAAATGCAACTTAATTAGGCTCGATTTTCTAAGTAGAGGTTATTATCCTCTGTAGCTCAGTAAAGTTTTAAATCAATATCAGACTAAACACTTGCTCAAATAGTGGGACATGCTCTGTCTTCAAATCACAGTCTTACCCTGCAGAAATCCAATATCTGAAAAAGCTAAAGACTGAGAATAACGAACTGTTATACAGTTCTCATTTTCAAATAGAAAACATCCTTTTATACCCTACAGAGCAGTCCCTAAACCAACACAATCTTTTTTTTTTCTTTTTTTTGAGGGGAAAGAATTAATGTAGTTTCAAACAACACCTTTGAATGCATTCTGAATGAAAGAAAGAAAATGTTTCAAAGTTACAGCAAGGGAACTGAGTAAGACTAAAGTCAAATAAAATGATGTGAATATTCTTTGATATCCATCAAAGAAAATTGTCAAAAATACTTCAGAGGTAATACTGCTTTGAAAGCAGCTAGAAGCAATATACTCATTGACTTCATCTGTAATTATCTGGTATCATTTGGATTATGTATGCATTTTACTCCACAATTAAACTAAACAAGAGCATAAGAAGAGGCTTACAAATGCCATGCAGAATTACAATTTAGCATTTTGTAGCATGTTGTATGTATTGCAGGAAATATCTGTCAGACCATTTTTGCTGCCAGTAGTCAGGAAGCTTCAGTTTATTCCTAATTACTACTGCATAATCAATAATGAAGCAGTGTGATGATTTAAGAGGCATCTATCTATACTAAGATGAAACTAGTATTATTAATTTAGAATATATTTTCATTTTCCTAGACTTGCATATAACTAATCTGATAGGGAAAATGAGAGCAGATGTAAGAATATTGTCCATTATGCGTTCCAGACTTAACACTGCTTTATGTCATACATTATGATGCTCCCAACAAGACATTAGCAGGAGCAAGATCTGTTCTACACCACATGTAAGCTCCAAGGCCAGTAGCATAGTAGACAAGAAAGTAGACAAATCTTTTCTTAATATTTCATGTTTATCCCTGATTATCAAAATAGCAGATATGAGTGTCATGGATGTAAAGTAAAAGCATAACCCCCAGGTGACATGAACTAAGATCACTTCAAATGATACAGTTAAAATTCTATCAGATTACTAAGAATGGGGGGCATTTATTTACTTTTTTACATCATTTGCATATATATAGTCACTCTGTTTCCAACCGCTCTTCTAAATTAAAGGCAGCTGTGGCACTAGGTATCTTGGAAGGTTACAAATTACAGCCATTTTCTGTAAAAAATGTTCTTATCCCAGAAACATCCCTGCCATATTCTCTTCGCTCAGAATCTTTCAGCTCTTTTTTCCTCTTACATAATAGATGACCCGAGTTCAGCCTAGGAATTCAAGTTTAGATCTGAGCGTTTCCTTCTAATTTGTTCTCTGCAAGAATTCCTTCCCTAAGAAAGAGAGATCTACTTGCATTTCTCGTTTTAAATTAGGCTTTCTCCTCCTTAAGGCCACACTACTACATTTTGACAGCCATTGCTAAACTTCACAGAGATGTAATCAGATTCACCGTTACTCATTTCAATAATTTCTGCTGTAACTTTCAACATCTTGAGAGAATATCAATCAGTCAAGATGATGCTATTATTTACAAGAATTCTGCCATCCTAGTTATATCCTCTTTAATCTCTCACTTAAAAAAGATGGAATTATTTCAGTGTATTTTGTTCTTCTGCTAATGTAAATGCTGTCAAATAAGTACCTTTCCTATTGCTTTTTCCAGCTTTCATTGGAGGAGGGTACTCACTGTAGACTTCTACTACCTTCCTGATGTCTCAATCATCAGCACAGAAAAGAAGTGACTGTTAAATTACGAAGAAGTAAGTTTCTTCGCATTTATTTAGAAACACGCTGTTTTAACCCTCTATGTTATTGCCTGTGGAATGCCTCCATACATTACAAATACTTACATGCCAGGGGAACATTGTTTCTAGAATTCCAGGATCAAATATTTTTAAGTATGAAAATATGCTGTTGATATCAAGTATATTATAATATACTGCAGACAAGCTAGAGCTACCTCCACCACTCCCTCACCCCTCCTTTTATTTCAGTGTGGACTCCACTAAACCCTATCCGTAATATTTTCATGGACTGTTTACAAAGATCCGATTGAAAACCAAAAGCTGATCTACAGAAAACACAAACTTGTTCAAACATTTAATAATGAAATTTATAGATGGGGGTAGGGAGTGATCACTGAGCACTTACTGTAGCAGAAAGCTGTGGTCCATTTAACTGTGCGTGCAGGATGGCTTCATTGATGGAGTTCCAGATTCCCGTCAGTGCTATTTCCAGATCATGTGAGGCACCCATTTCATTAGTCAGATATTCCAGTGTGGAGATATACTCCCTCCATTGCATATCCAGTTCTGACACACTGGCCAAACAGCCCCTCATCACATTCAGACAGTATCCAACACAAGGTCTGATTAGTGTCAGGCCCTGGCAATGTGGGCAGTACTGCATCCTCACTAGAGCTCTACTGCACTCCTTGGTGAGGGCAGCGTGTTCAGTAATATTTATCACTTCAGTGCCCAGATTGAGAGCCTGGCTGAGCATCCTACTTGCCCAAAGAGATTTTGACAGCTCTGTAACCATGTTTTTAGAATAGTGTCCAAAAGGATTTATGTCTTGCCTCGTAAGCCGAAGACATTCCGTATAGTCCTCTGACAGATCAGTAATTCCTGGATTTATTAGCCGACTATACACCAAAGGAAAAAGACTGTCAAAAAAACGTAATACTGCATTTTCCACTGTAGTCTCTGCACCCAGGATGTAGAGGGAGATGTCTGTGAAAAGTTCTTTAACAGGCTCTTCTGCTTCTTTTGCCATAGGTCTGTAAGCTGCTTCAAACAGAGATCTTGTATGGTTTTCAGCCAAGCGCAGGAAGGACTCAAAGGCCTCTAAAAAAAAAAAAAAAAAAAAAAGGGGCAGGAGAGAGAGAGAGAGAGAGAGAGAGAGAGAAAGATGTTAGATGTTAACAGCAAGCAGCTTGCATCTAATTCACAGGACTAATAATAATGTCCTGAGCAGGGACACCAAGAGCTATACAAAATCAGCAGTGTGAATACACTAATAATTAATACAGCTTTCATCAGAATATGACAAAAAAGACAAGTAAATATTACATGTGTATAATAAAGAAATGTCTTAACACACAATTTTTTTTAAAGAAAGATTACTGTATTATCACTAGTTATACCCCAACTCAAGCTCTAGTGGTCACTGCTGGATCTTCACAGACCATGGGCATAGGGATCAGATCTATCTAGATGTTTTTTGTTTTTTTTTTAACTGACACTGTATTTGAGCAGTACAACAAAGACACATCATCAAAACATCCTTTACATCAACAAGCACTGCTGGTTTTGAGTACTTAGAGAGAACTACAACATTTTCAATGCCTTGAATATGTCTCTATAAAACTGCATAGTAGAATACTTGGATGAGCAGAATTATGGAAGCCATGAACTGCTATGACAGGAATACCTGGTAACGGGGGGGGGGGGGGCATAATACACCCATCACACAATTAGTACTGGCTGTATAAAAAATTATGCAAATATTCATCAATGCTCAGAAATGTTGATCCTCATTCATTACCAGTACTTCTCAACTGTAGCTATTTGAAATGATTTAATAATTTAACAGTTCGTGAAAGCAGTATCTTGATAACACAATGACAGCTTAACGTTTTGCTAGCTTTCATCCCAAGTATCTACTGCTATGAAATAACATTGCATCAAAAATGGAGAGAAGTGTAAAGGCAACTGTGTTGTGTGAAATGTTGTCTAGACGTACAAAAAACATGCGTGTGCACATTTGGATAGCTGACATGCAGAGTGGATACATGCTAGAATGAAGGACAAGACAAAGACAAATGTACAAAGAGCAACTTCAGATAAAGCTGCTGGACAGCAGCTCAGTGAAAGATTGAGATAGCTGAATGTAAACATAAGCTGATGCTTTTCTTTCACAGTCCTGTGAGTGGATGGCTGAGGTGCACTTCTTGCAAAGAACAGATCAGGAATAAAGGGAAGATACTGTGTGAAGAAATTCTCTCACTGTTAACATCAGCTTGGTCTGAGCTCCAGCTAAGGGTTAGGCAGAACTTAACATTGAGTCTATGAACAAAGAATGAGATGAAATTTTAAGTTCAGGAAAGCAGTATTTCACTTAACTACACCATTTTTGAATGCTCTTATAAAATAAATAAATAAATAAATAAAAATCTAAGAAATGCCATAGTTAAAGCATTTGAAATTGCACAATGTAACTATTATACAATGACCAAGGTGCTAGAATTTGTAGACAGATTTGTAGACAGGAACATGCATAGAATCAATTCCCAAGATTATTTTTTGATGACACAAAAGACAGTAATCTGAACTATTCCCACTGCTTTCTTTGGAAACTGTACAACAAAACGCCTCTGACATAAATCATGCTCACACTTCTCTGAATGGCAAGTAGTTCCCGCTAAGGGAGGAAACCTATCACGTTGTGCCCCCTGAGGACTGGCCAGATAATGGGCTTTCAGCCTAATCCTACTCTGCATTCAGCTGAACATCACCATGCAATTCAGAGCAATGTAACACAAACTGATCTAGCCCAGACATCAGCTTAGCAAAGGAGCTGACACAATACTGTAAGATTAGCACACACTGGCCAAGTTTTGTAGAAGAGCCTGCTCACTGCCTTCCTCTGTTACATCTCTCTGGGCAACTAGCTTGTTTGCTATGTGGAGCATTACAATCCCCTCACCACGAAGGGCAATTTAATCAGGCAGATAATATAAGATATCTCATTGTACATTAGTATTTTCACACATGCACGAGCTGTTTCCTTCTGCCTGAGAATCACTTCAGCATTCTCATTGATGCTAAACCACGAATACTCTGAAAGAATATCAAGAAATGAAACACATTTCCATTTAAAAAGAAAGAAGCTCCTTCTCAGACAGAGAAACATCTTGTCAAGTTTCAGAACGAAGCAGATTTTTACAGCTGTGTTTAAAAAAAATCCTAACTTGATTAGTGATGAAAATGCTGACACAACTAAATTGTAATGCAGTCAGCTGCATGCCACTGTACCATTAGATTTTTTTTGTGTTTGACGATTCACCTGAATTCACCTACTTTTATTTGTAGGGAAAATCTAACAACCATTTTTATTTATCACATTGAAAAGACAACAGAAATCTGAAGAGCATGAAAACAGTGCCCTAGGAGTTTCCTCCTTTACTTCATCCCTTGCAGATAAGCAGCCTGCCATTAGGTTATGGAAGCAGGGACTCTCTCCAATGATGCCAGTAGATTCCTACATACTCTTGCCTTCCACCTCTATAAACTCTGCAACCATCACCCTTCTTACCTGAATAAATGAAACACATTTATGAATTTACATGTATTCTCAATTTCCTGGAAAATAGCAGCCCCCAGTGAAAGACGAGTTACTGACAACTTACCTCCCAACAAAACAGATTTCAGGAGCTTCCTGGGTAATAGGTTGTAGACTAGAAACCACGTAAGCCCTTTACTTTCAAATGTCCCTTGACTATCAAAATTCTGCATGCAATTAAGTGGAATTACACTATTTTGTGACAGGTATGAAATTAAAATAGTTGAGTGCCGTTTATTTTTCATTATGCAAGAGAAACAATAATGGCACACAGCTTTATTCCTCTTGCAAAAAGAGCCAGACCATTGAGCGTACAGTACAAAAACATTTCTGCTGGTTGTAGGTACACTGCAAACATCAGTAAGGTACCATATGCTTCCTTATCATTATCCACCAATGATAAATCTGACAATCACCCTTGAGAAGGAAACATGTGGGACTTGACTTTCTTGTTGTAAGGCATTAAGAGACAGCAGAGAATCAAATTAGTGGGTCATCTGGATATTCTTAGATCTTTTCTTAGAAATAATGCAGCTTCAAGCAGTTGAAGCAGTTGTGCAAGAGAGTCTACCTTAGCATCCTGTTTTATTTGATTTATTTATTTATTTTATTTATTATTATTTACTTTAAATATACTTTCTACGGTACTTTGTACACTTCCTCGATCTCAAAGGTCTAAGAACTAAGACGTTCCTCTGTGTAGCCTCAGCACACACAAAAAAGAAAAATATTTGGTCATCTTTACAGTCCTTCATATCAACCTTCCACAAAATCAAAGTACAAATACATGCAAATATATCGATTCTGGAATAAGTTGTAAAATTCTCCAGAATGTGAAGGAAACATTATGTAAGTTTTTCCTTCATTTATTATTAAAATAAATAGGAAGATGGAAATCACAGTTGTTCTTATGCTCCTCAAGAGCCACTTTTTTGATTGAAGTCTACACGGAGAAATCAAAGCCATGTCTGGAGCCTGGACTAACACAGCAGTGACTCCTTAATGAACATCACCTTCATGAGAAGAATTTTGTTCATTTTGCTCATCCTGTGCTTACAAAGCAGAAGCAGATTTTAAGCAACATTATAGACCAAAGAAAAGTATCTAATATTTTAACACTAGCGTGGGAACCACCTTTCCAAAATAAAGTCAGCTTAAGCACCAGACACCTCTGTGCACAGGGGGCCATTTCTGTTGCTCAGCAGCAGAGGCTCACATACAACAGGCCTACTCCAGCTGAAACCCGAGTCTACCAAGGCCTCCAAAACTGAGTGCAAACATCGACACGTGTGAAGGGCAAGTTACTGTCATTGCTGTTAGGCTTCTGTGTGAAACGCCCTGCTAATGCAAGGTCTCTATGTTCATCATTTCTTACCTTCTGCAATAACTGAATAAACATTAACTTACAAAAAAAAGTCCCCCTGCAACAAGGAAAACCACTGTATTATAAACATTAATGACAATATTTAGGAATGGTCAAGAAACCAAAAGTAGAAGCCAGCATTGTATCTAACTATACAGAAATACGTATACATTTTAGATCAGCGTGTGATCATAAAAGAATAATGACAAATTGAAGTCGCTCCATTATCTCTTGGGTCTCTTAGGACCACACTAAGATTTGGCTCCTTTCCCTTCAAGGTCTTCCACTTAGTACCAAGTTACAAAGTCCATGAACGCTAGATTTGTTGAAAACAGCTTCCTTTTAATGCTTTCAAGTCCTTTAAATCTTCTATGTCTTTACAGTTTGCCAAAACACAGGACAAGACAAACATATTTTGCAGCAGTAGGAATGAAGAACAGATTATTTGAAATTTGATGCAAAGTTCTATGTACACAACAAGAAGTCACACTTGTACAAATTCTTAACGCACACGATAAAATTCAGAGTTCTATATTCACAGATAAGCAACAAAATATAAACATTTATGTATGTGAACAAAAATAACAAAGATTGCTCAGGTTGCTACCTATCATTAAATAACATAATCAAGTTTGGGTTGTGGGATTGTTGTTTCTTTTTTGTTTGTTTGGTTTTTTAGATTGTAGGATTGTTTTGGAAAAGAACATAAGCGCAAAACACAGTCACATTTAGAGCAACAGAAGTCTATTAAGCTACTTAAGAAAACTTTCTGCTGCATTTCTTTACTTCTAGCAAAACACCACAATACAGAATGTCATGGGCTGGATGTTTTCTTCTGCTCTGTCCTCAGTCATTATGCTGAAAAAAGCACCAAAGCTCTTTATTAACACACAATTTTTCACTTTTTCATGTGTTTTTAGAATGGCAGGCTTCCTACATGCACATGCACTATCTCTTCACAAAACTAATCAGAAGTAACATCTTAATAAGCATCATTATGTAAGCGGTCTCATGGAAATAAGATGCTCAGCATGTAAGCAGGAAACACAGCAACCTTGCTCATAAACATTTTGGCCAGAGAAAAAGCTCCAATGCTGGATCAAGTGGAAGCCTCTCTTGCTTTCTACTCGTCTCCTGTTG